AACTTTGTAGAGAACCAAAGTGGGAAGAAAAAAAAAACTATATATGTAAATAATGTTGAGGGGCCCAAGACTCACATGCATGCCACATGTCAAAATCTAATTGTACAGCTGCTACCATTTGGTTTCTGCTTTGTACAATATCAGTATATTTAATCATAGTAAAATAATGAGTTTAATGTGAAAGAGGGGGGGGAGAGGACCACTGCATAAAACTGCTAGTTTTGATTCAAAAAACTGATAGAACTGCATGTGGGTATGGTGTAAGTAGCTCGCACCTCTATGCATGGAGCTCAGATCTGCTTTGTTTTTCTCTTATACTTAATTTGCCATTTGTATTTTTTATGCCTTTGTTTAGGATTCCAATATCTTTGAATGTGTTTCATTACCTGAAGTGAAAATTGAAAGTAGGGTAAGTGGAAACTTGCATGGCTTTAGAAGGCCACAATAATGTCCTAAAAAGGTCAAAAAGGGTTTTTATCACACAATGGGATTACTAATTTTTTATTAACAAAATGTTTCCTATACATTGTACTAAAACTTTAAAATCCGTGTCGGTTTCTGAGATTGTGATCCATTTTCTTAAGTTTGATTATCAATTCTCATTTGACACATAAAGTTATCCTAGGTTTTTATTCATTTTCTTAAACTATAATGCTCTTTCTCTCATTGGATAGATAACTGAAGTTTTTCTTATTATTCTTATTGAAATAGGTTATTCTATCTACTTTTTTTCACATACCTTACCTACTCATTTTTTAATATCATTGGATCAGAATTTCAAGGGAAGAAAGAAAGAGAGAGATTTTAATCTAATAATATTGAAAATGAGTAAGTAAGGAAAAAAAAAAAAATAGACAGAATATCATATTCTATTATTATTAGTTTATATCGAGCTTGTACTTCTGAAGTTAAATGACTCATTTTAAATTCACTAATATTCACCACGAAGTTCTTGTTAAACTTGTTATCAAAAGCTTAAGTTGATAAATTTGACTACCAAATAAACAAACAAAAACCCAGATAGATCAATACTTTTAAATGAAATAATTCTGAATATATATATACTATTGAGCAACTTAAAACTCATGATACAAAAGCTGACACTATTTTTTTATTTGAGAAAAGGTACCATAGTTTGGTTCCACTCACTCTCAAGACATCACATGTTTCAAAACCTATAAAAATAAAAGGCAAAGAAAAATCTTATCATCATTCAACATTTTCTGATAACGAAAAGAACCTATAAATAAAAGGGTAAAATTGGCCCAAATAAAGTTTTGTTTGACCAAAATTTTTTTTTATAGGGGTGGGGGGGTCTATAATAAAAAGAAGAAAGCAACTGAGAAAACAAAATGTCTGTTTGAGAGAGGGAGAGGACCAAAGAAGCGTGAAGTGCTCTTCTTTGCTTTTAGTTTGGGACCAAACTTAGGTAACCATATATATTGCGGAGTCAAAATCCAAGACCCTCTAATCCTAATGTTAACCCCCCATGTTGAAGGTCACTACCTCCCCCTTCATGGCCCCATTTGGCTATTGCTGAATGACTCTAGACAATGACTCAAACCAACAAAGTTGTCCACGACATTAGCAATCAAACAAAACTTTGATAAAATAAAGTCATAGTCCAAAGTTGATTTATTGTCGTTTTTTAGACACTTGGATTCTGAATTACGTATTCAGATTTTCTCATTTGGTGCATAGTTGTTCATACGTAACCAGAGGCGGATGGAGGTATAAGAGAAGGAGTAAGTGCCCATCCTTAAAATATGATGTAAAAATACAAAAATATCCTTATCTTATAATTCAAATTTTTCCAATTTAATTTTGACGTATGAGATTATAATAATTAATTAGGGTTACTATCAATGTTACTACCAATTAATTTCATCGTTAGATCGATTATGTTGATCCAACGGTTATATTTATTTTCATCTTTGTATGGTTATGATTTTCCATATTTAATACTTTATATTTATTTTCACCTTTGTATGGTTATGATTTCGCATATTTAATACTTTTACATTAAATATAGGGATCATAACCATACAAAAATAGAAATAAATATAACCATTGAATTAACATAATCGATCTAACGGTGAAATTGATTGGTAGTAACCCTAGTTGTTTGTGATATCTTGCCACTTTAATTTTTCTCCTTCTATTTTATTTTCCCGTGAGTTTTTTTTTCTCCTCCACCTTCATTCCAAACCTAACAGCAGGGAGCTCTGTTCCAGACCCATCATTTGCATATACATAATGATTCATCTCCTCTCAAACCTCAATCTCCGTTATTGGAAGTTGCAACATTTGCTTCTTCTTCTTCCATCATCGGTCCAGTCGAGTCACAATCCGTCCAGATCTAGATCTAAACCAGACTCAGTCAGCCGACAGCTGCTCGCAAGTCGCATTCCAGACCGAACCTAGATCTATATGTACCTAAACTTGTCGAGTGCCCACCCTTCGTTAATTTTCTGGACCCGCTGTTATTAAGAAAAATATTACATGAAAAAAAGAAGAGATATTAAGGTAAAGTAAAGAAAGCCTTAGAAACATTTCGTTGATGTTTGAAGGGGACACCTCTTGTCATATCCAAATTTATATATAGGAGCATGTAATACGTGTTATTGAATGGTGTTAATTTTGTGGTGCAAATTAAAGGAAAGAATTAAGGTGATATCTCTTTCTTTCTTTTAAATCCAGAATCCAATTTTTAGGTTAAAAGATTAGCTGTTTATATTTGGACGTCATTATGGGTACTTGTTTGCTTGGCCTGGCCCTCTTGCTTGCACATCTCATCCTGGTTGTCAAATAAGAAAAAGGTGTTTGTGGATGTGCTATGCTTTCTGGAAATTGAGATAATTGTATAATTAACATGAAACACTAAAAGATTAAGGTCAATTTTGAGGGGGTTTCATATGGGAAAATGAACTGCAACCACCTTCATAGTTATTATTTATGAAATTTCATATTCAATTGGGACCTCATACAATTGAGCAAACAAAACTACTTTATATTCAGAAAAATAAAGGAAAAAATGTTTCTGCAGTTAATGCAGATAAGTTATCTGCATTTATTTTCAAAACGACGTCGTTTTGGTATTGAAATCTCAAAAAATTATAAATATAAATACTATTATAATCTTGAAATAAATTAAAATTACGAAAACACCATGATTTCCGTCCCAAAACGACGTCGTATTGACTTATTGCAGATAACTTATCTGCAGCAGAAAAAATGAACCCAAAAACCATTTTGCTAAAGCTCCTCTCTTGGGATGAATAGTCCATTTATTAAATGCAGCACATAAATCTCTCTTTCTCACTTCCTCACCATGTAGGGTTTGAGTGATCCTTATGTGATCCCTTGTCCAATCATAGCAAATATAGCATTTAGAGGTTGGGCCCTGCTTGGCTAGTGTTGCAAAGACACCGAGAATAATTAACGTAATTGATAGGATAAACACTACAAGATAAAGGGTATTCTTATGTACAATCTCCAATGAGCATAGCACCTAATTTACAATGAAATTAAAGGTACTTCTTTTTGGAACATACATAATCAAAAGCTTTAATTGCCCATTTGCAGTGAGTGTGCTACATGGTCCACCAAAACCTTAATAGCTTGGATGATTCAGTGATACACCTCTATTTTTCATTGGATCACCCAAACATTCCCATCGACCGTTGGTCCATTACTTGGTGATTTTATTGACTGCAAGGGAAAGTAGCACCCATTTTAGGTAACCAAAAATCTTGATGTCGGCTTAACTTATGTGAATGGGAAATACTAATCTCATTTTACACGAGGTAGTTATCTCATTTTCTCTCACATCGAAAATCGCACCCCTCCTTTTTTCTTTTTCTTTTTTACTTTTTAATGGTGGACCCCACTTAAACTCTCTCTATAGCATAAGATAATACTCTCATGTAACATAAGATTAATATTCTCCTATGTCAATTTGTATTTTCATCAAATGCAAACATAATCATAATAATAATTATTGCCTATAGGAAAATCATTTCTTCCTATTTTTTTTTTCCCTTCCATAATCAGTTTTGCTTCCAGCTTATATTTTTCTTTCTTCTTTTTGTTATAGTTTGGTTTTGAAGAGAGAATATAGGATAACATGGGTACATTTTCTTAGATGCTCCACACTACGGGGAAGTTGTCCTTTTATTATAGCACTTGTTCCAACATGTGAATTCAGAATTTTTAAATGAGAAATATCCAATTATTTAAAATTTAACTAACCCTTCTGGTCCAAAACTTGTCGACATATGGTCCAAAAATTAAAGCAAAGCTTTAACCCATTATTATTATTTTAAGGGATACGCACTCCCTCCCTTGATTTCAATTTTTTTCTTCTAAAATTATATATTTTATGTTAAATATCATAAACTTATAATTTTCATTATTCAGTCTGTAATTTTAAAAAAGTAATATGATACCCCCTTTTTCAAAAAATAAATAAATGCATATTCTAATGGTAAAGTTATCAAATCATATAAAATTTAAATTTTCCCCAAAATAATCAACCCTAAAATTGGCTTGAAAATAATGTAACTATTTCGTCAAATTATAGGAAAAGAGAACTTTAACGTAGTTTTAAAAGCTGACAAAAAATATTTTATTTTTTACAGTGAAAAAGTTTATCTTTTAATTAATTATATTTAAAATTTAATGATTTTAAATAAATGTGAAAAAATATACTAAATATACACTAATCATTATTCAAAATTATTTTAACATATGAAGTGTGAACATACATAAATAAATAATAAAATAGCAAAGGAAAGGAAAAGATGGGAAAAATAAAAATAAAGTAATAAGAGAAAAGAAATATTTGGGGCAAAGGGGCATGAGAGATAGAGGTGCAATGCAAGACCTCATAAACTGTTTAGTGATTTGGACCTCTCTTGGTTTTTGGGGACAAAAAACCATTGAAATTATTGAATGAAGAAAAAAGCTTTGCTTTACCTTTGACCCTTCTCTCTCTCTCTCTCTCTCTGCCTAATAGTCCACCACAGGTTGAGTGGCCCAGTCTTATTTTATGATTCTCTCTCTCTCTCTTTCTCTTGAAGGCCTAAGCTACCAGGAGCTCCCAATCAACAGTGTTTATCTCTCTCTCTCTATCTCCTTTTTCTTCTCACACTGCTAAAGTAAAGAAGCTGAGTTTTGATCCTTGAAATCAGGTACTCTTTTAGGTTCACCTTACTTTCCCTTTTAGCGTTTTGCATTCCTTCTCTTGCTGGGTTTGCTCCTTATCCCTTCAAGTTTAACTCTTTTTTTGAATCTGGGTCTCTCTCTTTCTTTTCGGATCTGCTTTAGATTCGTCTCAAAACCATGCTTACTTGATCAAGATCCAATTTTTATTCAATTTTGTCTAAGGATCACTTTCATGTACCCTGCTTATGGTAAATATTTTTTCTCCGTCCCTGTACCCTTTTCTCTCTCCAAAACCTGCATTCTCCGATTGACGGGTGAATTTGACTCGTACCTTACTCTTTTCTTGGTCCTCCAAATTCAACCATCTATGTTTGTTTTATGATTTTTTTTTCTTTAAGCTGATTCTTTTTTTTGTTGAGCTTTACTAATCTTGTCATGGTCTGCATGCAGCTCCACATCTCAAGTTTGTTTCTTTTTAGGGATACATGCTTGTTTTTCTAACTGGGTCGTAGGTTTTGTCCACAGTTTGTTCATGTGTAATAATAGCATGTGGGTTCACTCAGCAGGAGTCTGAGGTTTTGGTTGGCTAATTATCTTGTTATGCTTTAGCTATGTTGTTATGCACATGTGTTCTGTGTATGTGGGTGGAACTGTTTCACTTGTTACTGGATCTATTTGTCTCTTGTTGAATGTGAGCTGATTGTGTGTTGATTGCTTAAGTCTTTCTTTAATAGATTGATATATGACTCTATGTCCTCCCTCATATTGTTGTTAAGCCGAACATGTTTTCAATACTGTAGTAAAATTGCTGACAACTTCTTTTCTGATATTGGTGCCTTTGATAGGTTTGTTTCTTATTTTTGAAGACATAAATGGATTCTAAGCCATGGATTTGGTCAATCTGATCTTAATTGTAACTCTTTAACATTTCTGATGGACTCGAAAACTAGTGCTAGAGCTCTCCCAAAACACCATCAAAAGACGGCTGAGATTCAAACCCTTGAGGCAAAAGACACAAGGCCTTCTTCACTGCCGGTTTCGAAGACGGCGAAACCTGAGCTGGCTGCACCTGAAGATCTATCAAAGTCTGTACAAAACACATCAAAGCAAAATACTGGGGAAATTTCGGAAAGCAAGAAGTTGGGAGCTCCAATCCAAAAGGGGTCTGCTGAATCTTTGAGTAATAAATGTGGTTCTGGTGCTTCCTCATCCATTCCCAACAAAGCATCTGGAGAAGTGGATCATGCTGTTACTGGGAACATAGGCTCACAGGAAAGCTCTGTTGATCAAGACAAAAAGACATCTGAATATGGAAGTGTGAAGAGCAGTTCTGTTTCTGCCAAAGTTAGTGATGGGACCAGCAGTCTTGCAAAGACAAGTGGAAGTGCAAAGACAAGTGGAAGTGCCAAGATCAGTGATCGAGCTGATTTTGTCGAGAGTGGTAAGAGCAGTATTTGCAGAGGAAGCACAAGCAGTGATGTGAGTGATGAGAGTACTTGTAGTAGTTTTAGTAGCAGCATAAACAAGCCTCACAAGGCAAATGACTTGAGATGGGAAGCTATCCAAGCTGTTCGAACTAGAGATGGTGCATTGGGTTTAGGTCACTTTAGACTACTGAAGAGGTTGGGTTGTGGGGATATTGGCAGTGTATACCTCTCTGAGTTGAGCGGAACTAAATGTTACTTTGCAATGAAGGTAATGGACAAAGGGTCCCTAGCAAGTCGTAAAAAGCTACTTCGTGCTCAGACAGAAAGAGAAATTCTTCAGTCACTTGATCACCCTTTCCTCCCCACTTTGTACACCCATTTTGAGACAGAGAAATTCTCATGCTTGGTGATGGAATTCTGCCCAGGTGGAGACCTCCATACTCTCAGGCAAAAGCAACCAGGGAAGCATTTTCCTGAGCAGGCAGTAAAGTATGTTTAAGTTATAATCTCAATTTTGGTTCATTCGAGCTGGTTATAGTACATACTGTATTTCTCCTTTTGATTCCCCCCCCCCCCCCCCCCCCCCCCCCCCCAATTGCTCATATAAGTTTAAGTTGCCCCTGCCCTGATTTACATCTGTTCTAATCTAAATCTCTGCCACAAGAAAGTAATTGATTGTACAATTTTGTTTGCATGAAACATGCAATCTTCTGAGACATACAAGATTTATAACAAAATAAAATATCTAAACAAAAAATAGAAGTTACAATATGCAGCAATTTTTTATTTTAAAGTTCATGCATATTTGGTGGAAGTCTTCAATTTATAGATATTTGAGACCAACTTGCTTATTGGGCTTTCAAATAAATGATTTTTTTTTTCAACCCATAAGAAGGTTGTCATGGAATTGTGGATAATGTGTTACTTTTCATGTGAGAACTGGACCCAATTTGAGATATGCTTTAGTGGCTTGTTATAGTCTACAAGGAAGGAAACTAGGTTTCATTCTTTTTAGGATATTGTAATTACAACCACATCATTTCTTTTTTTAATTTTTCCTTGGGTAATTCCATGAATTGTTATGTAGGTAGTTGCCGTGGAATCATCCTTATTTTTGCACCCGTATAGCTAAGTTGCTCTAATTGCTGCACTTTATTGAAGCAACTGTATTCTAATGCTTAGATTCCTGTGTCCTGGTTTGCAGATCCTGGTAACAATTATACATGCATGCATGCATGTATTACTTTTCATCTGTTTATCATGCCTCTGGTTGTTTTAATTAAGTCCTCTACGAAGTCAATAATGCATTCCAGACAATTTCAGATATTAAATGGAGGTTAATGACTGCTTTGTTTCTTCCAAATGTGCAAACAAATATATAACCTCAACCAGAGTAATAGAGAATCTTTGAAAATTTGCTTGTTTGTGGAAAGATAAAATAAGTGGAAATCTTGGTTTTAATATTGAAACAACCATAGGGCATCTGTTTTGATTCCTTTACTGGGACATTTTACTCAATGCAGACTACTTGTGATCATGCTCAGATTCCTTAACCTCTTTGATTTCTGATAAAATCTGTCAGCTGGAAATGAGATGTCGGATACTCCTTATGGCCTAGTCATGATTTCTTTTGTTATTTTTCATTTTGGTATTTTGTCTAATTTGGCAATGATGTTAATTTGATTTGATGGTAACAACTGCTAATTTCCTCATAACTTGCAGATTTTATGTGGCAGAGGTCCTACTGGCTTTGGAGTACCTCCACATGCTTGGGATTGTCTACCGTGATCTTAAGCCAGAAAATGTCCTTGTTAGGGATGATGGACATATTATGCTCTCTGACTTTGACCTTTCCCTGCGATGTACTGTTAGTCCAACCCTTGTTAAAACCTCATCCATGGATTCTGAGCCTTTAAGAAAGAATCCTGTTTACTGTGTCCAGCCTGCATGTATTGAGCCACCTTCCTGCATCCAACCATCCTGCGTTGCTCCTACCACATGCTTTTCTCCACGCCTCTTTTCTAGCAAATCAAAGAAGGACAGGAAGCCCAAAAATGAAATTGGCAACCAAGTTAGTCCATTACCTGAGCTCATTGCAGAGCCTACCGATGCGCGGTCTATGTCATTTGTTGGAACCCACGAGTACTTGGCACCTGAGATCATTAAGGGTGAAGGGCATGGGAGTGCAGTTGATTGGTGGACTTTTGGAATCTTTCTATATGAGCTGTTGTTTGGTAAAACACCTTTCAAGGGATCTGGGAACCGAGCTACTTTGTTTAATGTTGTAGGTCAGCCCTTGCGATTTCCAGAATCACCTGTTGTGAGTTTTGGAGCTAGGGATCTTATAAGGGGGTTGCTTGTGAAGGAACCTCAGCACAGATTGGCATATAAACGTGGTGCTACTGAGATTAAGCAACATCCCTTTTTTGAAGGTGTGAATTGGGCATTGATACGTTGTGCTACCCCACCTGAGATCCCAAAGCCAGTAGAGTTTGAGAAGATACCTTCCCCAGCCTCATCATCATCTGGCGAAAAGGCTGTTAACCATATGTCAATAGCTAATCAGAAAGGTTCTGATAATTATCTGGAGTTTGATTTCTTCTAGAGATAAACAATATTGATTGCAAATGGTTTCTATTAGAGGTGGAGGAACTGTTTTTCAATGTTTCAGGGACAGATGATGAGGAATTGTATGTTTGTTTTTGTTGGCTATTTACTGTTTCAAATTTGTATGGCATAATTAATGCATGGCTTCTCTCTGTCTTCTCAAAGGCCTAAAAGAACATTTTTCCACTGACTGCCAATGCATTAGGAATTTGAGCCAGCACAATGGTGGTTAGTTATGATGCTCTTAAGGTCCCAATTGGTAAGTATGCAATTGTGGGAACTGAAGCACAATGGGCATTCGGCAACATGTAGTTGCTCTATAGACCTGAAAATCAACAGATCAACAAAGTTTTTATATTTTTCTTTGAAACAAGAGCGCCAAAAGGAGTATCATCTAAATCCAAAAGCAACTAAAATGCAAAAATGGCTAGTTTTTGTTTTTTGATCATGGCAAGAAGGTTAATAGGAATTATGTTTCCATAAGCGTTACTGTTTTAAGGTGGGCACTTATGGTCGATGCACTTTCTGGAAGGTTGCTTTTGTTGAGTTTTTAGTATCCTCTCTTCACAAAAAGGGAAAAATTCTTCACAAATGTAATGTAAGAAGGTATTGCATCGCTAAACATAAGACATTTTAGACAGTAAAGGATTCATGAAGAAAAACATTAGTTCATGCCAATTAGTTTTTTTTTTTTATGGGTTTAATATTTTTTATGTTACAGGAGATAAATGTATCTTTTATATATATATATAAAATTATGTGAAATTTATGTTTTCTTTTTCTTTCTTTTCTCTTCATATGAGTTTCCTACACTATGTATAGAAGATAAATTTATTTAATATAATATGAGAAATATTAAATCATATATATATAATTTAATTATATTTATACAAATGAAGGGTTGAGGAAAAAGGATGAGAGTTGAGTTAGTTTGTGCTTGGTTGGTGGTGCATGAGTATATAATAAGGGTTTTTTATATTTAGATTTAAAAATTGACGGTGTGCGGTCTTTGACAAAAAAAATTGAAAATTGATGATCTTTGACAAAAAAAATAAATAATAATATTACATTGAACTAAGATATTATGTCAAATTCATTTCCTTTTTAAAAATACAGCATGGTTTAAATTGTGATCGAAGAGCTCTTTTTCCTGAAAAACTGTTATACTGGTTGCCACTTGCCATCAAGCCGTGTAAATCCTTGCCTCCAACTTTCAGAAAAAGCAGCTGTTTCAAATTTCTCCATTTTCAGAAAATATGTTCCTCCACCTTCTTATTATTTTTTCCTTGGACAGGGACATTAGATATCAAGAATATAATACCGTAGTCAATTTGAATCTAATATTTTGTTAATCTAATTCGCTACTCTCCAATTTGAACAAGTAACCAGAGTTACATAATAAAAATAAATAACATATCATAATCAATTGATAACATAAAAATAGTAGTATATTTGCAAAGCAACAAATGGAAATTTAAAATAGGATTTAATAGTTTACCAAAAAAAAAAAATAGGATTTAATATTTCTCTTATAAGTTAGATGCAACTCCTACAAATAGTGGGGAGTGAGTGAGCTCGGTCTTTTTCTTTTCTTTCTCTCCTTCTCATTGAATGTCAATCACTTCTTTTTGTTTACACGAGATAATTTTATCTTTAATTCATAAGAGAAACATTATATCCTTTTAACTATATCTTCACTCCTTATAACTTTGCAAGTGTTATTTCACTACTTTTTCTCTTTGGTTTTGTAGTATTATTGTTGGGATTTGTTTTTCTCATGTTGCATGAGAAAACAAACCCTTCCTACACACTATAAAAAGGTGTGCCACTCATTTTTTTGCTTTTTGTTTTTTTTTTAATAAATGCAGCTCACACTTGATATATCTATGACATGAGATTAGAATTCTCCTACAACATAAGATTTATTTTTTCCATTATTGTTATTGATGTTTGTATGAATAAGTCCAGTATACTTAAAGGAGTGAAAATGAATCACATTATACTTACCATTGATCTAAAATCTCTAAAATTTACATAGAACAAATAAAATATAACCAATTTATATTGATAAGAACACTTGTTTTTCAAAATGGACACATTGATGTTTATTGAGCATGTATATATGTCATCATCGTTAAATACATATAAAATAAATAATATCAACCAACCCAATAATGATATTCATAGCATTCTTTAGATATATATGCCACGAAGTATTGTTTATTATTGCTCCAATATAGTTTGTCTTTTTTATTTAATTTCTCTAAAATAACCCTTATGTTTCATTTATAATCAAAATAGTTAAGTAGTTATTTATAGGATCCTAGTTATGATTTATCCCGATTTTACCATCTATATTTTCTCGTTGTGAATAGTTTTTCAAATGTTCTTTTCTATAAAGCATATTAGATTTAGCTTGGGCAGTTGCCTCCCTCACCCCTTACTGTGGTTCTGTCCATGCTCATGACCATGAATCATAATATAGACTCTAATATTAAGTATTAGAACTGTTAGTAACACATTGTTTGAATCTTTTTAACATATTTAATCACTGGATCCATATTAGTCTCATTAATAAAGAATGGTCCCTAATGTGGGGCTTACATGCAATTTCACCAAAATAATAGAAAAAGTATTGAAAAGAGTATAAAAATATGTTGCTAACATTTCTCCGTTTCACATGTTTGAATTCTAACTAGACCAGGTCGTAAGAAATATTCTTCGAATATCCTAATTCCGACCTTGATGACTTGCCTTTGACCAGATTAAAATAAATATAAAATAATTTATTTTCGAGCAAAACCTGATCCGTATATCACTTGACTCAATGTTATTAAAATCGGCTTGGTCATTGACTCGGTCGAGGTACTGAGTCACTGGTTCAATCAGTGTCAGAGGCGGATCCACTTAGGGAAGAAGGGGGGCAAGTGCCCACCCTTAAATATGATGTAAAAATAAAAATATTTTTTTTCCTTAAAATTCAAGTTTTTCCAATTTAATTTTGGGATAAGATATTATAACAATCAATTAGGTTACTACAAATGTTACTACCAATCAATTTTCAATTTTACCGTTAGAACTGATCCAACGGTTATATTTATTTTCATCTCTGTATGATCATGATTCCCATTTTTAATACTTTATATTTATTTTCACCTTTGTATGGTTATGATTTTCTATATTTAATGCTTTTACATTAAATATGGGGATCATAACCCTATAAAGATGAAAATAAATATAACCGTTGGATCAACTAATCGATCTACGATGAAATTGATTGGTAGTAACCTTCGTTCGTTGTTACAATATCCTACACCTTTAATTTCCCGCCTTCTAATTTATTTTTATGTGAGTTTTTTTTCTCCTCCACCTTCATTATCCAAACCTAATCTAGATCTAGATCTAAACCAGATCGAGCCAGCCAGCAGCTGCTCGTAAATCACGTTTAAGACCAGACCTTATTAAGTGCCCACCCTTCGTTATTTTTCTGGATCCGCCACTGATCAGTGTGTTACTAGTTCAACTGCATGATCCGTGAATATATGCAAATCTATAATTTATATTAAAAAATTATAAACATAATCAAACAGCTGAAAAAAATAACATACATTTTAAATATTTTAATATAAAAAATAATAAATTACACATTATTTTCCAATAAAGGATCAAACGAACATATAATGCTTGTGATAATGTTGTTTCATGTTCAATAAACGATATCTCTAACTATAAATCAAATCAAAATTCTATGCATAGTGCATAACTAAGATAATATTAGTATTGTAGGTACATAACTTACGTAAGCCAATAAGTAACAAATCACTCAAATACGTCAATTATGATTTATTTTTTTGGATTTGTTTTAAAATAAACCAGGCCGGGTCACCCATTTTCACCAAAATCAGCCGGGTCACACCAGGTATAATGCATGGCCGGTCCATTGTTTCACCCAGACCGATTATATGACCGATTCACCGATTCCTGAGTTGACCCGACCGGGGCCGGTCCGGGTTTATTAACAATGTCTTGACTATAATGTTTAAAAAAATTATTAATATTTAGTATATATTTCACACACACACTGGACGAGTTTATTAACAATGACTTGACTATAATGTTAAAAAAAGTTTACTAATATTTAGTATATATTTCTCACACACACTTCCCGACCGAGTTTATTAACAATGACTTGACTATAATGTTAAAAAAAGTTTAGTAATATTTAGTATATATTTCACATCATTTAACATCGCTATAAGTTACATTCTCAATCTTAATCGTTGATCCTATTTATATCTAACGGTTAGATATTGTAAAAAAAGAGAGTCTTATATCAAATCTTGATCATTGATTTGCTTGCATCAAACGATTCAAATATCTAATAAATTAGAACCGTTAAATATAAATAGGATCAACGATTAAGATTGAGAGTGTAATTTATATCGATGTATATATATATATATATTGGGTCACAGTTAGTAATTAATTAATAATTTCCAATAAATTATAATCGTTGATTGATGAAAATCAACAGTTAGGATTTGGTATTAAACTAAAAAGTTTGATACTGGTGTCAAAGAATCTTATCCCTATATATATATGAGTCAGGATCATTTTACATCGATGTAAGTTATACGTTCAATCTTGATCATTGATCCTATTTATATCTAGCTGTTCTGATTTATTAGATATTTAAACTGTTAGATGCAAGCAAATCAATAATCAAGATTTGGTGTAAGATTTTTTCTTCTTAGAATATACTTCCTTTATATATATATATATATATATATATATATATATATATATATATATATACATATACATATATATATAGGGCTTATCGTTTCTCAAGCTGCTTGAAATAATTTTATCTCCGGCTACTAAATCATAATCGTACAAAGATGGATCAATGGTGATAAAAGAAGAGAGAAAAAAGGAATCATAACCATTCAAAGGTGAATAAATTAATATAAGAAAATAAATAAATAAAACAACGTAGTTTTGGAATAGCCGGAGATAAACTTATCTCAAGCTGCTTGAGAAATGTTTTTTCCATATATATATATATATATATATATACGAGACAAGTTATATTTACAAACTCTTACAAACTACACTAAGTACGACCGGTCATACTTTAATCATGCAGTGTACGACCGGTCGTACTTAGTGTAATTTGCAAAAAAAATTTGTAAACGGATCCTATCCCTATATATATATGGATAAAGTGTGTGTCATTTTTAAAGGATGTAAAGTTGTATCATTTTAAGAGAGAGAAAGAGATAGATAAAGAAGGAGAGAGAGTTGACAAAAAAAAAAATAAAGGTGTGGGTCTCACCTCTTTGTGAGAGTGAAAGGATGTAAGTTGTGTCATTTAAAAGGATAAACACTTTTTCTTATATATATATATATAGTTCGATTTTTTTGCAGCTACTTTATGTGCAGCAATGACAAATTTTTTGTATATATAGGTTAAAGCATTTAAAGTGTAAAATCATAACCATACACCTGTCATTACTGCACGTACAACAACTTTTACCATATATATATATATATATATATGGATCCATTGCACGCGAGATATAAGATCCAATTCATGAATGGCCTAAGAGACCTAATAACCAAGACTTAAAAGGCTAAGCAAAGACGTTTATCTCACGTTGACGTCATCCCACAAACATACAACTACAATCACAACAACACAAGATTGTACAACCACCTCTAAAAGGTGGCATAAGTAGGATAACCTACTCCTATTATAATAGAGGCTTGAAGCTTGTGTATAATCATTTTATCCATCTTTACCAAAGTTATTGATCAATTACTGACTTAATCGTCGAAATACCTTGAAGTTACCCAATTCATCCCAATCAAAGAAGACCAACCAACATCATATTCTCCCTCCCATGGAAGTATCTCTCGACAGTATATATTCCAACAAAAAAACCTAGATAACTATTGAATCAAACTCAATCGTGAATAATCTAACCGAATAGATTATTGGACTGATAAATACATATACACACTGATTTTTCAAATTCGGGTCCATGCTCACAAGTTACATGGCACATTGAACTACAAATAGTACAATTGAACTACAATCATTCAAATATAATGAAATAAGCAAAAGACCCCATTCAAAAATAATGAAATAAGACATAGCTATAATTACAGAAGTTGTGCAAGTATAGTATATTCCTAGTCTAACTTCAGGCTTAACGAAAAAAAAAAAAAACTTCATAATACATATTCAATCTTTACTCAGAGCTTGTTGACTCTGTGTCTAAATGACCCAAAAGGATTGGCTACAAAACGCATAAGAGGAACAAAACCACGGGATTCATCTTGTTTTTTTAAAACTTTGGAACTGCCACTGACACTGTCACTGGGGCTTGATGAAGTGCTACCAATCATCTGATCAATCACTTCCTTCCTGTCACATATTATTTTAACATCACATACATCTGGTACATTCTTGAGGACCTTATCTGCTATGGCATTTCCCTTTCCAGTTCCAGATATAGATTTGCTACACATGCCAATAATGAAATAACTGAAAAATATTAGTAAAAGACTATTGTTCTTATTAACTTAATTCTAGATATTGCAGGGCATGGTACCTTAATTTAGAGTTGGTAATTCCAATCACCAATTTCCTTATACAACGATTCCAAACAACGTCCACGATGGTTTTGGCAACGTTGTCACCCTCAACAAGCATCATCTCCACATTAACCTGTATAGGATTTACCATTATGTCCTAATAAACTCATCTGGTATACTTAACTTTTTCTAAGTTGTGATTTATTTATTTACCTTTGAATCAATACACTTGTCAATGAACCTTCGAAGGAGCTCTTTCTTCTTGGCTTGCTCTGTGGTCAAGTGAAACTTAACATACTCTGGATTCACTTGGTTTCTAGGCATTCTTCCAACTGCCATTAAAAATTAAAAACAGTGCCATCAAGCACACAAAGTCATAGCTAAATTAATAACTTAAAGTTTGTGTTAAATAACAAGAGACGAGAGGAACATTGAAATAAATCTGTGTAATATTGAAACAAGAGACTTGGCAGCTAGTTTATCCAAACTTGGATTAAGACGATGAACAAAACACGTAAAACCAAACACAAATCTTAATGAAATAAGAAAATATCTTTCTAACAGTTTGGAAGAAATTTTGTATGATAAACCAATAATAAAACTCTTATCATAAACCAAGTACTTACTGGTAAGCACTTACCACTAAGCCAAAAGTTATACTTATACCAAGTATTGGATGGAGCACTTATCATAAATCCAAAAGCTATAAAACTGTTAATTACGGCACAACTCTTTCTATTTATCAAGCATCACGGTTTTATCTAACTCCAACCAACATCGAGTCTTGCCAAGTCAGGATGTTGGGCTCAAATAATTACACATCTTATAAAGGGGTTTGGTCCCATAAAGATACTAATTTGAACATCATCAAAACTAATTAACATAGGAACAGAGAAAAGGGGGGGGGGGGGGGGGGGGGGCAAGAACATGACTTACGTGGACTTGAGATGTATCTGATTTCAGGATAAACGTGTACGAGACAGACAGTGGTAGAGGGTGTGACAGCATGGTTCAGAACCCATAAAAGTGCTTCCATGCTTGAATCTCCAACGGGGTTCACTGCCACATGAACAACATTTTTCTCATTCTGAATATCGAAAGAGAACACACTGGTCTCGCAGTCTTCTGGTATTGGATCCAATGGCACCTTAAGATTGGTCTCAAATTTTTCATCCTCAGAATCGTCATATTCTATCTCGTTGGTGCTGTAGTAGTTTTGGCTGTAATCTTCACTTTCTATCTCGGTGGTGCTGTAATCTTCACTCTCTATCTCGGTGGTGCTGTAGTTTTGGCTATAATCTAACACTCGGTTTTTATTGAACCCATTGAAATCATAACAAGCGTAACTACTGGAGGTTTCTTCATCGGAATCATAGTGCAAAGAGCCATGCTCCTTTTCCTCTGATGATGATGACATACTAGTTGTGTCCTCTAATGTTTGGTTCTCCAAGTTTGCATCAACTTGGTTTCTGCTATGGTTTGTATAGTCCTTTTTTATCATTGGCTAGTATTTTGAATTAGAGTTTCATTATACAAGACGAAAATTTCAGCAGCAACTTGAGAATGTATATATAGATCAGAGAAACTTGTGTGAATAATATATTAAACAAAAAGGGTGTGCGCAAAATTTTGTAGTTATAAAAATAAGAAAAAGTTTGTGTCATTTTAAATGACACTAGTTGTGTTATTTCATAGACACAAAAAAATGGGATCCATATTATTTTTTCTTCAAGTGAGATTCATATCTGAAGGGCCGGCTTGGCTCAGCGGTAAGCTTGCTTGCCGTGGTGTGTCAGGTCGCGGGTTCGAATCAGCCTCTCTGCAAAAAGCAGGGGAAAGAAAGACTGCTTAGAGTATTCCCTTCCCCAGACACTCACGAAGTGGGTATTTGAACTGGGTCGGCCCTTTAAGTGAGATTCATATCTCTTTGTATATATGAAATGACAAACTTTGTGTCACACACTTTTCCCTTGAAAATAACATAAAGTGACTTGAAATATAGAATAAACAAATAAGTAAAAATTAGGAAGTGACAAATGCAGGCAAGGACATGCAAGAAAAAAACAAAAAAACAAAGAAAAATGAAGATTGAGTTAGAGAGGGTACGTAAGGAGTAGTGTGTTTTCCTCGCCTCTGGGGAGTTGACCCTGAAACCCAATAGGGCCTAATTTAATGACATCTTTTTTTTGTTGGTAAAGTAATTTAATGACATCTTATGTCAGAACGTGAACATGCAACATGCCTTTTGCCATGAGGTTTGTTAACTATATGATCAAACATCTAATTAATGTCAAATCGCGTGAATCCATTAATTTAAACTTAACGATGGCGGCTTTTATTTCAAACTGCAAGATGAGATCACAACTAAAATGAGGAACGAGCCGTCTTGTGTTAAATTTTTACGCAGAATTTTTCATGTCAAAATTTTATATATATTTATATTGTCATCAAATAGATGGGTACTATATTAAAATTTATGTTCACAGGAGAACCAGCATGGATACGGGATTGATCCCCAGTCGAACGACATAAGCATGACAATTGTCTAGCTCTTGTCACAAAGGTTCTCTTGAGAAAAGAACTACTTTGATCGTCGTGGGACTCATATTACTACTTGAGTTTAGGAATTAAAGTGCGTAGCATCTTCCCATTATTAACCGGGAAACATTAATTCCATGCTTGAACTCTAATTATACCCACATATTATGAAAAAGACTTAGAATATAAGTATTAATAAAATTGGTTTTATTGCATAATGTTGAAGTATAAACTATTAATAAACCGTTTCGTTTACCACCGTCGCGAGACAAAATGCGGCGGTTTTCACAAACTACTGGAATAATCGCCTCCACATTACAATCTGAGATGATTATTTTAATTGCCTCCGCATGATAATTTGAGGCGGTTAAAATAACCGCCTTGAAATGACAATCTGAGGTGGTTATTTTAACCGCCTCTAAAATACATTATGAGACGGTTATATTAACCTCCTCCAAATAATGTGTAACCGCCTCCAAATAGTTAAAGTTATATAAATTTTAAATTTTTTATTTTTAAAAGTCAACATAATTTTTTTTAATTTTTTTTTTAATATAATTTTCGGCAGTGATTAATTACTATAATTTATTTTTATTTTTAAAACTTATCTTTAAAAGTTTAAAGATAATTTTTATTAGTTGAATGTAAAGAGCTTATTGAATTTTGTATATGTGTATGTTAGTGTGAGTTGTTATATTAAAGAGAATGGGGAAGGAGGAACAAGGGTCATCCCATATGGGACTTCAAAGTAAAAGTGAGATGAGTTTTTCAATGTGCAACAGCCATCTTTGAAAATTTATATAACACCAGATGATTCAACTTCAAAGTTTGAACGGTTAGATTAAAGTATTACAAGAGAAGAACACACTGACCAAATTTGAGGACGATCTAACAGCTGAACAAAGAGATCTCCCTCTTGAATCTCACTGTCCGACAGACCACGAACCGTCTCTAAAAATGCTTTGAAGGCAGTTATTTTAACTGCCTCTAATATACATTTTGAGACGGTTGACATGAAATCACCTTCAAATATATATTAGAAGCCGTTAAAATAACCGCCTCCATTGACCATTTAGAGGCGGTTGAGGTATCATCATCTCTAAATGTAGCAATTAGAGGCGGTTTTAATGTAACCGCCTCTGAATGGTAAATGGGGGCGATTATTTTAATCGCCTCTAGTACACATCTGGAGGCGATTTCTTGTCAACCGCCTCGAATCAATTGAACCGCCAGAAAAATTGTCTCTATGTATCAATTGGAGGCGGTTTAAGTTAAATCGCCTCAGTTAAACAGCCTCCAAATACTAGTTAAACAATTTATTATTGGTCCCAATTGAGGTTTAATTCAATTCCCTTCATATCTGGATCTACTTCACTTATTGCGATTTGGTTTTTCAGTGCGAACCTCTGAATCTAAAAGGGAATGAGATGGTGGACTACATTGGTGAGGTGATGAAGGATGGCCGAGTGGTTCATATTGATTTGGTGCTATGAAGACATCATTGCTAAGATCATAAAAAAAGAACATACATTGACTTTGAGAAAATGCTAGGGTAGATTGTGAAACACTGCAATATATAAATCTCAAGAAATTCCATTGGCTAGGGTGAAATTGTGAGAGAGGCATGCTATTTATATTTCTCACTAAAAAGTCTCACAAAATCTACACTAATAGAAAATCCATTAATCATCAGATTTTTTAATACCCCGAGATTATTTTTCCTTTGTTTAAAATCTTGATTGAATATCAATGGATTTGAACAGACTCTAAAACAATCTTTTAAAATCATAATCGAATACCACGTGACATTTTTACAATCCTTTAAAATCCTAATTGGGGATATTCGTTTATTTAAAATCCTCTAGCAAACGGAACAAAACTGCTTTTCAAAGAGAATATCATTCCATCAAGAGGGGATATTCGTTTATTTAGTATCAGACCGTCCATATCAGTCATATCAATTCTAATAAGTTATTCAGTAATTCCTTGGGGTTATAATTTTATTGTATCTGATCTCAATATAGGTGTTTTTTTATGGATTGCTATTTCCAGTATTGCTCCCATTGGACTTCTTATGTCAGGATATGGGTCAAATAATAAATATTCCTTTTTGGGGGGTCTGCGAGCTGCTGCTCAATCAATTAGTTATGAAATACCATTAACTCTATGTGTGTTATCAATATCTCTACGTGCGATTCGTTGATACATAAACTTTTTGATACTATTGCCATACTCCTCTCTTTTTAGTACTTTATAGCAAAATATCAAAGGGGTTGAATAAATCGTATAGATATATGAATTTTCATTATTTTTATTCGGAATTCGGGTTGAAGAAATAAATCAGATAGTTATATGAGTGAAATAAAATGATTTTTATTGAGTAGAATTTACAAATACTTCCATATTCATAGAGATAGAATTCATGTCATAATTAAAGAACTAATGTGTAATTCTTTTTCGTAATCAAAAACGATGGGAGGTTATTGATAATTCTAGAAGAGTTTTTTATTTAAAAATTAGGTTATTACTCAATAAATTCAAATTTTTATTTTTAAAGGATGAGATCAATTCAGAAGTACCTTTTGTTTTTTTTTTATTAAAATAGATTTATCTTTATTATTAGAACATAATTATTAGAACATAATTATTAGAACAGACAGAATTGAATTGGTCTAATTCAGAATCGTCCGATAGATTGGAATCTTATATATCTTAGGGATATATCAAGAAAAAAATAATCGTCCCGATCCTTAGATTTATTTTAGGCTTTCGAGGAGCCGTATGAGGTGAAAATCTCATGTACGGTTCTGTAATAGAGATGAGAACAGTAATGTTCTCACCGACTAGGATTATCTAATAGTTTAAGTACAGTTGATATTGTTGATACACAATCAAAATATGGTTTTTGGGGGTGGAATTTGTGGCGTCAACCTATGGGTTTCATCGTTTTTCTAATTTCTAGCGGGTTATCAAACCGAATATTCGGGTATCAAATTTGGTTTATTTTATGCTGCTTCCTATTTAAACGGGTTATCAAACCGAATATTCGGGTATCAAATTTGGTTTATTTTACGTTGCTTCCTATTTAAACCTTTTAATTTCTTCATTATTTGTAACAACTAAAACGAAAATGTTGAAAATCAAACGGGGCACTACATACAATGAGTTAAAGGAGAGAATTCAGCAAAAATTGGGTTTGCAAGGCAGCCAATGCGTTCAACGGATGATTGCCAGGGTAGAGACAACAGTTGGTAAGGATGCTATTTACTACATTGGTAACGATATATGTGATGATGAAGATGTCGAATGTGTCATAGATGCAATTGTTGACCGAAAATTTCAAAATTTTATTGAGATATATGTTGAATTAGATTGTGGTCAATCTTCATCTGCACCCATGCATACAAGAAGTGAACCGTATTTTGGTCATGAAGAGTAGTCGATTTATCTGCACCTGCACATGTCATAAGTCAGATAACACTGCGGGAAATAGATGAGGATGAACAGGATGCCGATATGGACAGCGATGAGGACGGTGAACCTGAGAGTGTTATTCCACTAGGTGACACGTCAGATACTGACGTAGAGGGTGATTTCGACGCTGACACAAGCTCACCATCCCCGGGTTCGCAGGTTACGAGACCACTTCGTGTTGACCCTGTTAGCAGTGGTAAGATTTGTTTTTTAAAGATTTAATTTAGCAATTATTTTTTTTGTTATGAATGGTATTGACGGTGGCATTGTAATGCATCCGTAGGTTCTGAGGTCGAGCCATTTTGGAATGAAAGCTCACATTATACCTTCATTAATTGGGCCCACCCTAATGATGAGACGGAGATATTGTATGGTGACGATGATGATCACGGTGGCTGGCAATTAGGGGATCCTTTATATTTGTATCAGGAGTTTCGTAGCAAATCTGAAATGCAACATGCAGTCAAATTATATTGTATGAAGGCTCAC